GACGAGATAAGCTTGCAAGCGGAGTTTAGGAGCGAAAAGCTAAGTATATATCCATTTTTGCAAATTTGATTGCCTTTCTTTTATGTGTAAAATGTGTTTTACACATGACTATTTGTACATCTTCTTGTGTTTCTTATTTGTTATGATCATTTTTTCTATTATTTTTAATTTCATACACTCTCATTAACCCACTGTTTGTTGTTCATGTTTCGTTATTGTTTTCATCTTTTGCACCACCTATAATTGCATAGCATTTCTTTGATTATATGTGCTTTGTTTGCTTTTCTATTAGATTATTTATGTTTTGTTTTCTTTATTTGGGTTGTTGGTTTATAGTTAGGGGTTGGGGAGTAGGGCTTAGAGAGTAGGATTTGGGATTTTGGATTAGGAATTAGGGATTAGGGATTAGGGATTAAGAGTTAGGACTTTAGAGATTAGGGATTAGGGATTAGGGGTTAGGGGTTAGGGGTTTGGGGTTCGGGATTTGGTTTTATTGTTGTTTTGCTTCTTTTGCTCCTCCTCCTCATCATTCTTATCCTATTTTTTTTCTTTTATTGTTTCTGATATGTTTTGGATTTTCATTTTTATGTGCGTAACTAATCTAATGTGTATTGTGATTTCAGTTGTTGGTGGAATAGACGAGATAAGCTTGCAAGCGGAGTTTAGGAGCGAAAAGCTAAGTATATATCCATTTTTGCAAATTTGATTGCCTTTCTTTTATGTGTAAAATGTGTTTTACACATGACTATTTGTACATCTTCTTGTGTTTCTTATTTGTTATGATCATTTTTTCTATTATTTTTAATTTCATACACTCTCATTAACCCACTGTTTGTTGTTCATGTTTCGTTATTGTTTTCATCTTTTGCACCACCTATAATTGCATAGCATTTCTTTGATTATATGTGCTTTGTTTGCTTTTCTATTAGTTTGATTATGTTGTTTTCTTTTTTTGGGTTGTTGGTTTATAGTTAGGGGTGGGGGACTAGAGCATAGGGAGTAGGATTTCGGATTAGAGATTAGGGATTAAGGATTAGGGATTAGGGATTAGGGATTAGGGGTTAGGGGTTAGGGGTTTGGGGTTCGGGATTTGGGTTTATTGTTGTTTTGCTTGTTTTGCTCCTCCTCCTCATCATTCTTGTCCTATTTTTTTTCTTTTATTGTTTCTGATATGTTTTGGATTTTCATTTTTATGTGCGTAACTAATCTAATGTGTATTGTGATTTCAGTTGTTGGTGGAATAGACGAGATAATCTTGCAAGCGGAGTTTAGGAGCGAAAAGCTAAGTATATATCTATTTTTGCAAATTTGATTGTCTTTCTTTTATGTGTAAAATGTGTTTTACACATGACTATTTGTACATCTTCTTGTGTTTCTTATTTGTTATGATCATTTTTTCTATTATTTTTAATTTCATACACTCTCATTAACCCACTGTTTGTTGTTCATGTTTCGTTATTGTTTTCATCTTTTGCACCACCTATAATTGCATAGCATTTCTTTGATTATATGTGCTTTGTTTGCTTTTCTATTAGATTATTTATGTTTTGTTTTCTTTATTTGGGTTGTTGGTTTATAGTTAGGGGTTGGGGAGTAGGGCTTAGAGAGTAGGATTTGGGATTTTGGATTCGGAATTAGGGATTAGGGATTAGGAGTTAGGACTTTAGAGATTAGGGATTAGGGATTAGAGATTACGGATTAGGGGTTAGGGGTTAGGGGTTAGGGGTTAGGGGTTCGGGATTTAGGTTTATTGTTGTTTTGCTTCTTTTGCTCCTCTTCCTCATCATTCTTATCCTATTTTTTTTCTTTTATTGTTTCTGATATGTTTTGGATTTTCATTTTTATGTGCGTAACTAATCTAATGTGTATTGTGATTTCAGTTGTTGGTGGAATAGACGAGATAAGCTTGCAAGCGGAGTTTAGGAGCGAAAAGCTAAGTATATATCCATTTTTGCAAATTTGATTGCCTTTCTTTTATGTGTAAAATGTGTTTTACACATGACTATTTGTACATCTTCTTGTGTTTCTTATTTGTTATGATCATTTTTTCTATTATNTAATTTGATAGGCTTTCTTTTACTTGTGAAATGCGTTTTACACATGACAATTTGTATATCATCTTGTGTTTCTTACTTGTTATGATCATTGTTTCTATTATTTTCAATTCCGGGCATTCTTATTAAACCACTATTTGCTTTTCATTTTTCGTTATTGTTTTTATGTTTTGCATAATCTATAATTGCATAACATTTCTTTGATTATATGTGGTTTGTTTGTTTGCTTTTCTATTAGATTAATTATGTTTTGTTTTCTTTATTTGGGTTGTTGGCTTATAGTTAGGGGTTGGGGATTAGGGCTTAGTGAGTAGGATTTGGGATTTTGGATTAGGAATTAGGGATTAGGGATTAGGAGTTAGGACTTTAGAGATTAGGGATTAGGGATTAGAGATTACGGATTAGGGGTTAGGGGTTAGGGGTTAGGGGTTCGGGATTTGGGTTTATTGTTGTTTTGCTTCTTTTGCTCCTCCTCCTCATCATTCTTATCCTATTTTTTTTCTTTTATTGTTTCTGATATGTTTTGGATTTTCATTTTTATGTGCGTAACTAATCTAATGTGTATTGTGATTTCAGTTGTTAGTGGAATGGACGAGATAAGCTTGCAAGCGGAGTTTAGAAGCGAAAAGATAAGTATATCCATTTGTGCAAATTTGATAGGCTTTCTTTTACTTGTGAAATGCGTTTTACACATGACAATTTGTACATCATCTTGTGTTTCTTACTTGTTATGATCATTGTTTCTATTATTTTCAATTCCGGGCATTCTTATTAAACCACTATTTGCTTTTCATTTTTCGTTATTGTTTTTATGTTTTGCATAATCTATAATTGCATAACATTTCTTTGATTATATGTGGTTTGTTTGTTTGCTTTTCTATTAGATTAATTATGTTTTGTTTTCTTTATTTGGGTTGTTGGTTTATAGTTAGGGGTTGGGGATTAGGGCTTAGTGAGTAGGATTTGGGATTTTGGATTAGGAATTAGGGATTAGGGATTAGGAGTTAGGACTTTAGAGATTAGGGATTAGGGATTAGAGATTACGGATTAGGGGTTAGGGGTTAGGGGTTAGGGGTTCGGGATTTGGGTTTATTGTTGTTTTGCTTCTTTTGCTCCTCCTCCTCATCATTCTTATCCTATTTTTTTTCTTTTATTGTTTCTGATATGTTTTGGATTTTCATTTTTATGTGCGTAACTAATCTAATGTGTATTGTGATTTCAGTTGTTGGTGGAATAGACGAGATAAGCTTGCAAGCGGAGTTTAGGAGCGAAAAGCTAAGTATATATCCATTTTTGCAAATTTGATTGCCTTTCTTTTATGTGTAAAATGTGTTTTACACATGACTATTTGTACATCTTCTTGTGTTTCTTATTTGTTATGATCATTTTTTCTATTATTTTTAATTTCATACACTCTCATTAACCCACTGTTTGTTGTTCATGTTTCGTTATTGTTTTCATCTTTTGCACCACCTATAATTGCATAGCATTTCTTTGATTATATGTGCTTTGTTTGCTTTTCTATTAGTTTGATTATGTTGTTTTCTTTTTTTGGGTTGTTGGTTTATAGTTAGGGGTGGGGGACTAGAGCATAGGGAGTAGGATTTCGGATTAGAGATTAGGGATTAAGGATTAGGGATTAGGACTTTGGGGATTAGGGACTAGGAATTAGGGATTAGGGGTTAGGGGTTCGGGATTTGGGTTTATTGTTGTTTTACTTCTTTTGCTCCTCCTCCTCATCATTTTTATCCTATTTTTTTTCTTTTATTGTTTCTTATATGTTTTGGATTTTCATTTTTATGTGCGTAACTAATCTAATGTGTATTGTGATTTCAGTTGTTAGTGGAATGGACGAGATAAGCTTGCAAACGGAGTTTAGAAGCGAAAAGATAAGTATATCTATTTTTGCAAATTTGATTGGCTTTCTTTTACATGTGAAATTTGTTTTGCACCTGACAATTTATACATCTTCTTGTGTTTCTTACTTGTTATGATCATTGTTTCTATTGTTTTCAACTCCGG